GAAAACCTCTGTGCATGTGTATTAATAATGTATATGTATAATGTATTTTCTGATTAACATTTAAATGTGTTGATTGATTGTTACGGAAACGTAGGCGTAGACCAATCAGAAAGGAAGGGGGAGGGAGCTTGGGTTGTCGTTTTCAAATCATGTACCTCTCTCTCTTTTTTCTGACAAACTCCAGACAATCACCGTCATATTCACCAACACAGATCAGAGAATCAAACAGTTCAAACACAAGAAATGCAATGATACAGTATAAAACACAGAGAGCCATCGGTCCATAAGAGGCAGAGACCAATGTCCATAAATGTGGTTGAATGTGGAGTGTCCTAGGACCCTCCTGCATCGGCAAAGGAACAGCTTTGAAAACCCAGTGGGAGAAAAGGGAGAGCTGTCTGGGCCCACATTGAGGCAGGACGCACAAAAACCCTTCACATTGTTACACTCATTATTTTTCTGTAACACATGTAACTTCTTCCCGAGTCGGCCCGAGTGCACCAGACTGACTTTGGCTTACTTCAATCCTGTTTACTCGTGTCACTCTTAACGCTGGAAAAAATCCCCTGGAAAAGAAAAAAGGAAAATACTGCTTAAAATAAGAAAAATGATCTGCCAATAGAACTAAAGTTTTAAAATAATACTACCCCCAAATGACATCTAGTATTCTAGTTTAAAAAAACATACATTTCAAGTATTATTTAATTATTTCTTTTTTGCAAAATGTTTTCTTAAACCATAGCATAACATACTTATTTCATCTCAACAACATTTTTTGTCAGGAAATAATAAAAAATACGTAAAACAAGCTTTAAAAACTCACTGCTCAGACTTTATTCTCTAAGATTATGAAGTATTATTATCTTAAAACTATTAAAATAATCTTACATGACAAACTACATCACAAAAACCCAGATATTTCACACAGTATGGAACTAACTAGAAAATAAAACTTAAATTTGACTGTTTTTAGTGACTTTGAGCAACTGCCGGACGATGTCCCGGTCACTGCCACCATCGCTGACGTGGAGGAGAAGAAGGGCTTTATTGACTATTATGTAAGTGCTTTTCTTATTTGTTTTACTGGTGTTGGCCGATAGTATGAGTTACATTTTTAGAAAGATGCCAAAACTCCACTGAGCTGGGCATTTGAAGGAAAACAATGATTTCCTCATCAAAAACAAACTTGACGACTTAAGTGATTCCTGCAGGTTTGAGAGGTATAATTCTATAGGTGCAATAATCTATAATTCTACAGGTTCTACAGGTATAATCTTCAATGGACAATAATGCAGAACCTGTTTTTGAATGGCATCAGAATCAGAATCATTTTTATTGTCATGTAAGTAACAGGAAGTCACAGACTAGGAAATTGCTTTGGCTCTCGATGCAAACAAGGGACCAGGTCTCTGCCTCCTCGGCCCCGAGCTTTCATCTCATCGGAGAACATTTTCGGTGTGCTCTGCGTGAGGGAAAGTAAGTAATCTTTATTTATATACCGCCTTTCGCAGGCCAGAGTCACAAAGCGGTTTACAATTGTTATTTTTGGGCACTTGTCCTCTCACTCCACACAGAGATGGGAGGGTGTGTGTGTGTTTGTGTGTGAGGGTGCGTGTGTGTTTGTGTGAGGGTGTGTTTGTAGTTAATGATTTGTGTTTTATTTTATTTTAATGTTACCATTTGATGCATTGTTCCAGAGTTGGTTCGGGCCCTAAGCTTTAGGCTGAATTAGATCCGTAGTCCCCCGGAATGTCTGTGTGTGTGTGTGTGTGTGAGGGAGTGTTTGTGTATGATGTTTTGTGTTTGTGTGTTTATGTGTGATTGTGTGTGTGATGGCTTGTGTGTGTGTGTGTGTGCAGGTGTTTGTGACGGAGGTGAAGACCAAAGGAGGGAGTAAGTACCTGATCTACAGAAGGTACAGGGAGTTCCTGCAGCTGCATCAGACGCTCGAGTCGTCCACAGAAGGAGCTGAGAGACCGACCTCGGGACCTCAGGGTCTACCCAGCCTTCCAGGTCTCACACACGCGCATGCGACAAACACACACGCACAAAATTGGTAAAAACTTCTCCTTAAATACTTTTAACGCTTTCTTTTTTTAGGCAAAGTTTATATCGGGAACAAGCGAGATATTGCTGAGAGCAGGATTCCTGAGCTCAACATATACATGAAGGTGAGAACTGCAGAGGGTTTATTCTGGGACATTTTCCAGTCAATATCCTCTCAAACCTCGTCAAACACCATTCTACATCACTATGATAAAAAAAAAAAAGAATAAACATCTTTTTTGTATTTTGTTTTTCGAGAAATCTTAATCAGAAATTGTTCTGTAATTGAACTTCTGTCGAGTTCCTTGTTCAGATTTGTATAATATCTTTGTTATTGTAATGACAGACTTTGAGTTTGTCTCTGCTGTAATACCTCCTTATTATTCCTTGGGATTACGGGGAGGAGGCCCCAGGGAAGACCCAGGACACACTGGAGGGACTGTGTCTGATCTGGGGGGCCTTGGGGTCCCCCCGGATGAGCTGGAGGAAGTGTGTGTGGATAGAGTCTGGGCGTCTCTGCTTAGACTGCTGCCCCCGGATGAAGATGAAATGGATGAATATTCATCCTCCGTACTTTAGTTTGAAGTACAACATTTCTAAGCTGGACTGAAAAATACTTAAATACTTTATAACCACAGTGTGTCTTGGTTGTGTACCTGCGTGTGGTTATGCACCTGTGTGTGATTGTGTACCTGTGTGTGGCTGTGTATCTGTGTACCTGTGTGCTTGTGTACCTGTGTGTGCTTGTGTACCTGTGTGTGATTATGTACCTGTGTGCTGGTGTACCTGTGTGTGATTATGTACCTGTGTGCTGGTGTACCTGTGTGTGATTATGTACCTGTGTGCTGGTGTACCTGTGTGTGATTATGTACCTGTGTGTGCTGGTGTACTTGTGTGTGATTATGTACCTGTGTGTGCTGGTGTACCTGTGTGTGATTATGTACCTGTGTGCTGGTGTACCTGTGTGTAGAAGCTGCTGGCTCTCCCGTGGCTGCTCCTGGATGAAGCTCTGAGGATGTTCTTTTATCAGAGCCAAGTGGACCAAGAGCAGCAGCCGCGAGCACTGCGCAGACTGAGGCCGCCCACACGCAGAGTGTACGCCACACCCTCCTCGGTCTCACTCTAGTCTCAGTCTAGTCTCAGTTCAGTGTCAGTCTAGTCTCAGTTTAGTCTCAGTCTAATCTCAGTTTAGTCTCCGTTTAATCTCAGTCTCGTCTCAGTTTAATCTCAGTCTAGTCTCAGTCTAGTCTCAATTCAGTCTTAGTCTAGTCTCGGTTCAGTCTCAGTCTATTCTCAGTCTAGTCTCAGTTTACTCTAAGTCTAGTCTCAGTTTAATCTCAGTCCAGTCTCAGTTCAGTCTTAGTCTAGTCTCAGTTTAGTCTCAGTCTAGTCTCAGTTCAGTCTCACTCTAGTTTCAGTTTAATCTCAGTCTAGTCTAAATCTAGTCTCAGTTTAATCTCAGTCTAGTCTCAATTCAGTCTTAGTCTAGTCTCAGTTTGAGTCTCAGTCTTGTCTCAGTTCAGTCTCAGTCTAGTCTCAGTTCAGTCTCAGTCTAGTCTCGGTTCAGGCTCAGTCTATTCTTATTTCCGTCTCAGTCTAGTTTCAGTTTAGTCTCAGTCTAGTCTCAGTTTAGTCTCAGTCTAGTCTCAGTTTAATCTCAGTCTAGTCTCAGTTTAGTCTCAGTTTAATCTCAGTCTAGTCTCAGTTCAGTCTTAGTCTAGTCTCAGTTTAGTCTCACTCTAGTCTCAGTTCAGTCTCACTCTAGTCTCAGTTCAGTCTCACTCTAGTCTCAGTTCAGTCTCACTCTAGTCTCAGTTTAATCTCAGTCTAGTCTCAGTTTAGTCTCAGTTTAATCTCAGTCTAGTCTCAGTTCAGTCTCAGTCTAGTCTCAGTCTAGTCTCAGTCTAGTGCAGTCCCATGTAAGCTCGAGGTTAAAACAGTCTTTGTTCAGTCTGAAATATTCCACGACAACAGAAACAAGTCAATAACACTGTGTGTGGTTTTATTTTTGTGTTTTCAGTAAAACAGTCAAAGAGAAGATGGACTTGTTGTCGTCCCCACGAGCCGAGGCAAAACACACACACCCGCACCTCCAAACGCACAACACGTGCCTTGTGTGCACACACATATTCAATTCAACGCTCAAATGAATTCAAAACTTATTTTCTCATTCCTTTTGAAAGACAAACTTTGTTGATAGATCTTTTCAAAGCCGTTGTGAACAGAAATAATAGATGTTACGTGTCCTACACTTTGATTGTGTGAAAAGTGTTGTGTGTTTTTATCTTGGCGCTCATCGAGCTGTGGATGAATACAGGTGCTGTTTGACTTCCGCGGCAGTGGAGAAGCCGAGCTGAACCTGACCCGGGGCCAGCTGGTCTACCTGCTCCGCAGCATCAACAAGGATTGGCTGGAGGTCAGGGGCCGCGACACACACCTCTGCCCATCACCTTTACTGTAATGACCAACCACAGCAGAGGAGCCATACTTAAATATATTTACCATTGCTTTACCTTTTTGAGTTAGGGTTAGTGTGCGATAGGAGGATCTTGGAGTGACGTCGTTGTTTATAGTTTTTCCGCGCCGGTCACGTGACTGGGTGGCATTACAGCATAGAAAGCTACCTGGATGCTAGAGAGTCATTTTTAGACGTTTGGAGAGACGTTTTACTAAATCAAATGGTCCATTCTTGTTCTTGGCCTGCTGAGGACAGAGTACATTTTTTTTCTTATTCTTTCAGAAAAGAACAGCGAAAAACGGCCGCGGTAAAGTGGTTGCCCTTTAATGCTGTTACCTACCGTAAACGTAGAACGGGAAGCCGGGTGGATGAGGGGATAAACAAATGTATGTGTGGGGGCTGTAAAGGGGCTGTGGGGGGGCTGTGAACAAGCCGTGAGGGGCCTGTGAGGGGGCGGCCGGGATGGAGCCTGAATAAATTATTACATAAATTCAAACTTTTGCATATGTTGCTGCATCTGAACAGGGCACAATTAATGAGCAGACCGGCATCTTCCCACAATCCTTTGTGAAGATCATCAAGCCCCTCCCCCCCTCTGACTGTGACAGTGAGGGAGAGGGAGGCCACGCCTACAGCTGCCTGCGCTGTTTCCTCCTGCGGCCTGAAGACACAGACACCAGGTGATGGAAACTGGAGCCAGTTTTTAAAGTGACCTTTAACCCAAGAACCAGTTTTATAAATATAGAAGAACTTTTATGCACAATTTGACTCACATCATTGAAAATGCTTTCTAACTATTGGAAATGTGTGAATCGGGCTGGTCAGGCAAGTAGAAGTGGAGTATACATTCAAAACTACATTTTGTACAATAATAAGCCTTGATATCTACACAAACACAGAAATGTGTCATTATTCTCATAAAGAAAAGGATAAACTTATTTACTAAGATTGAATTATAATGATCAGAAGTACAAGAGCCAATAAACTGAAGAGTCAGGAGCTCCTGTCCATCAACAGGAGAAACAAAAGGACAAAAGGAGACAAAATTGATATACAAACAACGTTTTCAGACTGCAGCTCGGTATCAGAGCCCTGGACCAAATGGCACCATGACCTATTTTATATATATACATATACTGTGCACACGCGGGGGCTTTCTGTTCTAAATCTGCTGATATCAGAATAAACTGACAGGTGTCTGTCCTTTACTCCCATTATTACCCGTTATAATAAACAAAAAGCAAAATAAGTAAAAACAACATTGGTGTAAACAAAGAGGAACTGACCATAAAGTTTTCTTTACATTAAAATGAAATGTGTGAAGCTTGATGTTGTCTTTGCTCCACAGAGATGTGTGTGTGCAGGAGCAGCTGGGGAGTCAGCCTGCGTACCAGGATCTGCTGTCCCGTATGAAGTGGGTACACACACGCGCACACACACACACACACACGCACAAACACTCTTCTTGCAGAGGGACCACCTCTCGGATCTGCTACTCCAAAAGTCCCGCCCATGCAATGTTGCAGTACAGTGTATACCACAGCGGCCACTGACCTTTTTAAAGCCGAGGAAGGACCATGAGACAATTTGAAACAGAGATATTCCAAATGATGTACAATCCATGCTTGTTTGCTGCTCGGGTTTAAAATACTTCCACACCGTTGACAGCTGTTTGTTGTTGTAGCCGTAGCCTTTTTGGTGAAACAGGTAAAGAAGAGGTCATTTCCGTTTATCAACAGTAGCATGCTAGCACACTCGTGTGCGTTTCATTTACGTCATGGACCCGAGGTTTCCTACAAATGCATGAGTATGGTATTGTCATGTGCTTTGTAGGACAGTGTTTCAGGAGGAGGACATCGCTCTGAACTACAAGGACCAGGACGGGGACCTGGTCCGGATCCTGGACGATGAGGACGTGCAGCTGATGATTGGACAGAGCAGACTCCGCCCACAGGCACATGACAGGCCTGTGAACCAGTTCCCCTGGGAGCTCTACGTGAGCCTGGGCCCCGACCTCTCTGTGTACAGCCACATGTGTGTCTAAAGTCTGTTACTATGAAGAATGTCTCTGAAGAATTCAACAATATGCGCCCTGTCTCTGACACACTTGTGTGCTTTATTTGCATATTTCAAACATCCGCATTCCACAAACCAACCTTCCTTACATCTTTGGCCATTTTAGATACCTTCACTGTACTGCCACATACTGGCCTGGCAGAGCAATAATACGTGGAGTAGCTTCTGCTCTGCAGCTATGTTGCAAAAGTAGCTTGTGAAATTCTTACAGAAACGTGTTCTAAGCAAATGCTAATGCTGTGTGCAGAGAATTCATTCATCTGCTCCATAATCAGTGAGACTGTATCTGTCGCGTATCTATGTGCCTCCTTAGGAGGTGGGACATGTACACACTATTCTCAATAGACGTGGTACTGTAAGTAGCATAAAACTGTGTAGTATTTGAATTATATTATTGGGAATAAAAAATGTATTTAATTAAATAAATATTAAATAAAAATAGATACGTTTGTATCAGACTCTTGGATCATTCTTCATTTCCATAAGGGGGGGACCCTGAACAGCACACAGTGATTCTACTCTGCTGAGGAGAGATGTGCAACTCTCATTTGTAAATCAAACAAAAGTGTAGAGATTTATTAAAGGTCAAATCCCCAAAGCCCCCTCCTAAAATAACTGCACATTTCATTTTATTGATTCATACACAAGGCAATACAAAGTGCTGAACAAAGCAAAAAAGCATTAAAATCATGAATAATCACAGAACATTAAAAAGAAAGATACAAATATAAAATCCCTCGGTTGTATGCACAGCTAAACAGAACTGTCTTTAACCTGGTTTTAAACATTGTCAGAGAGGAGGCCTGTCTCACATCTTCAGGAAGACTGTTCCAGATTTTAGCAGCATGAATCTGAAAAGCAGCCTCCCCATGTTTAGTTCTGACTCTGGGCACTAACAGGAGTCCAGTCCCTGTGCTCCTCAGAGTCCGGGCTGGTTCATATGGGACTAACATGTCACTAATATATTTTGGTGCGAGGCCATGGAGAGACTTGTACACAAGCAGAGCTGTTTTAAAGTCTATTCTCTGAGCCACAGGAAGCCAGTGCAGAGACCTGAGGACTGGACTAATGTGGTCGTACTTCCTGGTTCTAGTCAGGACTCGAGCTGCTGCATTTTGAAATGTACTGCAGCTGTTTTACAGCCTGTTTGGACAGACCTGTGAGCAGGCCATTGCAGTAGTCTAACCTACTGGAGACAAATGCATGGATAAGAATCTCCAGGTCTGCTTTAGACACTATGTTTTTTATCCTGGCAATGTTTTTTAGATGGTAAAAAGCTGCTGATGTTACTGATTTGATGTGGCTATTAGAATTTAAGTCTGAGTCCAGTATTACCCCTAGATTTCTGACCTTGTTTGAAGGTTTTAGGGAGAGAGACTGTAGGTGACAGATGACGCTCTCTCTTTGTTTCTGGGGACCAAAGACAATCATTTCAGTTTTGTCTGCGTTTAGCTGAAGGAAGTTGTTTTGCATCCACTCACTGATCTGTTGGATACAGTGAAGGAGTGAGTCTACTGGTCCATGTTCTCCTGCACTCAGTGAGACATAGATCTGAGTGTCGTCTGCATAGTTGTGATAGGACACTTCGTTTCAAAAACAAAAACAAACTACAAACTATTTGCCGACTCTGCCCGTCCTCCCAACACATTCAGGAATAAAAATGTGGTCCCCAGAGGAACAAGTTTGAGAAATCTTGCATTACACAATGTAAACGTTATCCCAGGTCTGATCAGGAGATGGCAGTGCAGCTCCAGACGTGCTCCGAGCCATGCTCCAGCTGCTGCTTCTTAAACATGAATAACATATAGACAGATTTCATTAGCTCTCTGACAGCTGCAGTAACACTCCAGTTGATACAAAATATGATTGCACAGACAGAGAAGGTGCAAAGATAGAGACGAGGAAAACACATGAATAAACAAACCTTCTGTGCACAACGCTCAAATGCAAACATGTCCAAAATGATTTTGAACAACCCACATCAGACATAGTGAGGCTGGCATTCAAGGCCGTTCTACCCCTGCAGCTTCACCGTGCAAACACCAGCTTTGACCTTGAGCTTTGTTTGAATACCTGTTTTAAGCACGAATGATAGTTTTACACCTACAAAGTCAAAGTTTGTGAGGAAAGTTTGGAAAATCACAAGACAAATAGTAGATTTCGCAGCCATCCTTACAGTTACAACAAACACATTTTTAAGGTGGTTTTATGGTTCTCTTGAAAACAAGTACAATCATTTCTCCTCAGTTTTTTTAAATGTTTCTAGTTAAAGTGATTGTCTGGAGTTTGTCAGAAAGAGAGACAGAGAGGTACTTGATTTGAAAAAAACGACGCAAGCTCCCTCCCCCTTCCTTTCTGATTGGTCTACACACCTACGTTTCCGTAACACTTTGAAATGTTAATCAGAGAACACATTACAGAACAGAATACATTATTAATACACATGCACGGAGGTTTTCAGAATCATTTGTTAATGTTTTAATGAAAAAAAGAATGTTTTTATGCACAAAAAAGCGATCACGGCAAACCCGGAAGTGCTATTATCATGAATTGCATATTATAGGACACACCTGCAGAGGATCTGATCATGGACATAGGTTCAGTATATAAATGATTATGGATATAGGTTCAGTATATAAATGATTATGGATATAGGTTCAGTATATAAATGATTATGGATATAGGTTCAGTATATACATAAGTACCTCAGCGCGGATGTTCAGAATTCTTTGTTCAGTTTTCATGTAGTTCCAGAGCCTAATAGAGGCTTGATTCGGAGGTTCCGCGAAAACAAACAACTGAGCAGCTGCGAGCATCAGCGCCGATGATTGACAGCCCTTGGCATGACTCGATTGGTTAACCTCGACGGCACCGTGGATTCTGAGCTATAGCTATGAAAAGTGAAGGCAGGACTTACCTGTAATAATAGAATTAATAAAATGACTTATTTTATATCAATATTTAAGGCCAGGAGGTCAATTTAACACATTTCTTAAAATGTGTAATTCATTTAGAGTTACAGACTATCACTTTAACATAAGTAACATCAACCGGAGAAGAAAATGACGTCTTATTACCTAAAGAACAAGTGCTCCCTATAGATCGCTTCAGCCTGTCCACACTGACTTATGGGGCTTTCAGACCGCCAACGCTGAAACGCTGAAGCCCCGCTCACCAGACGCGCATGCTCTAGTTTTCAGACGCAGAGGACTTTACACCAAAACGTCCTGACGCGAGCCGGAAGTACCGGAAGTAGCCGGCCGGATCTAATGCTAACAGAGCTATGCTAGCGGCTACTTGTGTACAGATCTTCTCCAATATGCAGCTTTGCAGCGTGTCTTTGCTCACAGACATTCCACGGACTTTATACAACAGTGGTATGTGTTCACGGAGGTGCACCATACGTTTTTTCATATTATTCAACGGTATTTCCGCATCGGCGAACACACTCAAAGCAGTTGCATAAGGTCACGGGAGCATGACAACGCATATTTTCACAAGCACACAGTCCCCCATTGTCAAGCCTGGTTTGAGTTCTGGTGAAGCCTGGTGTGGGTCCTGTTTTGGCTGTTTACGAGTATTTTCAGTCTGCTCGCTGAGGCCGCTAATGTCCCCGTGACCACTTTGCTGCCCTCTGATTGGTTGTCGCACGAACGTACCGAGGAAAGGATGAGCAGAATCCATCTCCTGTGGGCGTTGATTTTTTGCTCCTGCTCCTCCCTTTTCACTTTCCCGTCAAGTCCGTGCGTCATTATTGAACAGTCCGTTCGTGCGTGCCGAGAGGTCCGTGCGTTGTGACGGGCGAACGCGCGCCACCATAGACTTTGCATTGAAACCCGACGCAACGCATGATCCTGTCTGAAAGCACCATTACACTGTGGAGCAGGTGAGAAAAAATAATCCCATGTTAAAGTGGACATATCGTGTTTTCAAATAATTGATTTTTACATCTAAATCATTAATTTGTGGCCTATATAAAGCGTAACTGCAATGCCTGGGTCTGAGTCTCATTATTTGTAGCTCCACAGGCCTTTCTTCTACACCTGTTCTGAGGTGCGTCTGAGAGCAACCTGTTTTGGTGCTGTCTCTTTAAATGCAAATGAGGCGCTTTTGACCACCCCCCCATCCAGGTGACACAGGTTCAACTCCACCCCGAGCGGCCATTTTTGTAGTTTCTAAGCACAGATACAATTATCTCATAGAAACTTCTCATTACATCGCAAACATGAAGCAGGCCTTCCTCATTGACTGAAAGCAAATGTTAATTTTCATTCTTAGTCCAGTCTTATTATCGACTCTTCTCTTTTTAGCTTTGGGATCCATGCGCACAGTCAAGGCAAGGAAAGGCAAGTTTATTTATATAGCACAATTCATACACAAGGCTATTCAAAGTGCTGAACAAAATATGAAAGCATTAAAATCATAAGTAATCAAGATACAAATATAAAATCCCTCAGTTGTATGCACAGCTAAACAGAACTGTTTTTAACCTGGTTTTAAATATTGTCAGAGAGGAGGCCTGTCTCACATCTTCAGGAAGACTTCCAGATTTTAGCAGCATGAATCTGAAAAGCAGCCTCCCCATGTTTAGTTCTGACTCTGGGCAATAACTGGAGTCCAGTCCCTGTGCTCCTCAGAGTCCCAGCAGGAGTCCAGTCCCTGTGCTCCTCAGAGTCCGGGCTGGTTCGTATGGTACTAACATGTCACTAATATATTTTGGAGCGAGGCCATGGAGAGACTTGTACACAAGCAGAGCTCACATGCCGGTTTGTTTACAACAGCGGCCGCCTGGCGCTGGCCTACGTCGCAGGATAAGACGCACTACGTTGACAGAAATGTTTAAATTGAATATTACTTATGCACAATTTTACAGCATTTAAAAACGTTAAGAAAATGTTTCCTACTACAGACGGAAAAAGACGCATGCACCTCCACAGCCGCAGGTTGCCGACTCCTAGTTTATACAGT